ATGTCCACACTATTCAACAATTTCATCCAATCATTCTTGATCTTTTCTTCATCTGTCTCCTGGGATATATATTGGGATCTTATATCATTAAAACAATCACACTCAACTATCAAATGGTATTCGTCGTTTAAAGACTTCCTACTCATACAATAACAGAATTTATTCTCAGCAAATTTTAAACACTTTTTATTTACAATAATTCTTTTCTGAAATTTGTTAAGCAGGCGGACCTGCGAAAATACCCTTAAGAAACTCAGGGGGGTCCTATATTTCAGATACTTTTGTGGACCTATATACAAATTAAGGTTTGGATAAATTGACAATGAATGCGAATTTTGTACACTTATAATATCATTTTGATATAACATTTTTTCATAGGAAGAAATTAGACTTTTCTTTTTTACTCTTAAGATTTCTAAGGAAAGATCATTCCAAATCTCTTCAGCACCAACTTTGACAAAAAATTGTTTAGCTTGAAGAGCCCAGTTAAATCTTTCAGTAGAAGATTCTTTCAAGGATAATTCCCTGAGTCTCTCAAAGCATATTCGAGGGTATCGATTTTCTGACATTTCAAGCACTTTTAGTATCCAATTAACAATCAATTTAAAAACTTTTAGTTCAATGTGTGGGCTACCTGTTTCAATTCTAACTGCATACCCTGGTGTACACTGAGGAATCTGCAATATTTGTTTATAATAATTTACATGTACTTTTTCTAATTCGTCAATGTACCTCAAACCCCAAGTTTGTGCAGCATATAAAAGTGAATTACCAACAGAACTTTTGAACAACCTTTCTATTGAATCCCAGGAGTCAGGTTTTAATTTATAAATTAACCTTATCATTGAACCAATAGCCATATTTGCTTTTGCTACGAAATGATTTGTTGTCTGCGCAAAGACTGCTCTTTCATTAAACAAGATTCCCAGATACGTATACTGCTTTACAATTTCTATTTTCTCCTTTCCATAGTTTAAATAAGAACATTTTTTCTTATAACCATACCCTCCTTTCTGGAAAACTACCAAGTTTGTTTTCTTAACACTAACTTCTAACTCATTTTCCTCAGAATACTCCAGCAAACAATTAAGTATTCGTTGCATCATTACTTTCGAGTCTGCAAGAAGAATTAAATCATCGGCATATTTAAGGATCAATATTTCCACCGCGTGAGTCACTGCTACTCCTCTGATTCCCCTAGAAATGAAATATTCTTCGCAATCGGCAATAAATAAATTAAACAAATTTGGACTCGTCGTTTCCCCTTGCATTAATCCTCTTGTGACCTCAACCAGTTCCGTCGTTCCTCTTTCTCCTTTAATCGCTACGTTAGCTTTAGAGTAAAAATTCATTAATAGCTTAATAATTTTAGAACTCATTCCTATAGCAAACAATTTATGCCACAGCAATTTATGTGAGACAGACGGAAACGCATTTTTGAAGTCTACAAAAAGAGCAAACAATTTACCTTTACTACAATACAAACGGGTCTGAATTAAAGAATTTAAAGTAAAGATGTTATCGTTACAACTTCGGTTTCTTCTAAATCCCGCCTGTGCTTCAGGAAGCAAATTCTCTATTTCTATCCATTTATTTAATCTTTCGTTTATAATCTGTGTGAAAATTTTTAATATATTATTTAAAAGTGCAATTGTTCTAAAGTTATTCGGGTCTTTTTTATTTCCTTTTTTATAAATCATTTTAAAGTGTAAATCAATCCACGCTTTCGGTATTTCAGTTGTGCTCAATATTTTATTAAATAGTTTACTAATATATTGTATACAATTCGCTGGAAGATTCTTGAAAAATTCGTAAGATATCCCATCAGGCCCGGGGGATTTATTATTTTTACATTTATTCATACTAAAAATAATCTCGCTTTCAGATATTGGAGAATCAAGAATTGGATTTTCAAAAATTGGCATTTGTAATAAATAGTTAGAGTGATCTCGCGGGGGAAACATATCTCCAAGAAAATTACTCCATGTTGCTAAGTCTATACTCTCAAAATTAAAATTTTTTCTATTGTATTTATTAATAATTTTCCAGAAGATCTTAGGGTTTTTCGCACCAGAAAGCAAGTCTAATTCATTTCTTTTATAGTTATCTTTTTTACTTTTAAGTAGTTTTTGGTAGTTTTTTTTCATTTCATTATATTCAATTAATTTTTTAGTTACAAAATTATCAGACTTGCAATCTTTTAACATCAAATTCAATAATTTCTTTTTTTCCACACACTCTTTATCAAACCAAATTTTAGATTGACTGAATTGTCTCATTGAATTTACTCTCATTCCTACTTTATCTGCGCTATTTTTTATAATTTCAATTAATTTTATGGCCATTTGATCAATTGTTTCATTAGAATCGTTAACATTTATAGATGATGAAACTAGGTTCATGTATTCATTAGTTGAATTTTCGTTCCATTTATATTTTATACACACTTCATTATTACTCAAAAACATGTTTAATGTTAGAACCACCGGGAAATGATCCGAGCGTGAAAAAGTAGTCCAAACTTCTAATTTTTCTATTAAATTTAAACTATGGAAATTGGCCCAAATTAAATCTATTACTGATTTTTTATTATTAACTAAATATGTATAGTTTGCCGGATAATCTCCCGCCGTTCTTCCGTTCAACAAAATAAAACCGTTTATTTCCAAACATTCTACAAGTTTTTTTCCCCTATTATTAATTTCAATATCCAAATTTTTACGTTCATTTGAGACATTTATATTTTCTATTTCTACTTCGTTATCAATTTGATTTAAATCTGAAACTCTCGAGTTAAAATCACCGCCAAGATAGAAAGGAAGATTTGGATATTGATTTTTTATCACGTTAATTGTATCATTGAGTTCACTTAAATCTTTAACTATATCAGAATTTGGATTTAAATATACAATTCCTGCAATTAAATTTCTATTTTGAACATTAATTTTAATTATTATATACTGACTTGTTGATTTTATAATATTTACTTTAAATAACCTTGAATCCCATAATATTAATAATCCTCCTTTTGGTCTTCCAAATTTTTCCGTCTTGACAGCTGGGCTGAAAATAATTTCCATTCCCGGTTTCCGTGATAGAAAGTTTGACTTGTCCATTGTTGTCAACCATGTTTCACAGATGAACACAATATCCTCGTTCCTCACCTTATCACGTATGTCATAGAAACTATTTATCCCTCTTGCGTTCCAGAACATTAATCGTATGGCATTGCTCTTCTTCTTGTTTCATTTTTTTGCAGTTGTCTCAGCATTCCTAGATTCTTGATCTTGATGTTTTAGAAAATAATCGATCTGCTTATTTCCTTTTTCTTGATCATTCTTCTTTAGAGTTTTTAATTTTTTAATTACATTGTTTTTCGTGCCGATTTTGCGTCCTCTTTTACGTGGATTTACTACATTGAAAGAATCATTTATTTCCTCATTCTCTGACTGTAGTGTTGTTTCCTCATGCTCGGGCGTATTATTGACCATTTTGCCTATTTAAAAGTTGATAATTTGAAAAGAGAGATTCCAGTTTATACCTTGTGGAGCAATTTAACCCATTTTTATTCTTACACATTTTATGAGAAAAAATGTCATCTTTTTTATTGAAGCAATTTTTAAAATTGAAAAAATATGAACTTTTTTTCAAAAATTGAAAAATTGAATTTATTTTTTGGAAAAGAGGGGTTAAAAATATTTCTTTTAAAAAGAGGTTTTTGACAAAAGACAGTAAATAAAAAATGCTTGAAAATTAACTAGTTAAAAATTGAATTTTTCAACTTTTTCTTGTTATTTTGTGCTTGATTATTTAAATATACATATTAAAATGTATAGTAATATCAAAAGTCTATTTATTTACGCCATGTGTTTCGTAAATGGTGCATAGAACTCCATTTCATCATAATATTTCCAAGTGGAGAATTTATCTTCCGCAGCTGATCCCGATTGCTCATACTCTCTAATTTTCTTTCGCTCTTCTGCGAATTTTTTTTTCAATGTTGACCATCTTGCCATAATGTCTGAAACTAGAATTATTATAATGAAAAGCTATATCTATGTTATCTTTAATGCAATGAAGGTTAAATTATACTTTATAACTTAGTTATTAATTATTTTATGAAAATTTGAACTCTAATAAACATAAGTAAATCAATGTTGAAAGTATAAAGTTTACCTGAAATTTCTTTTTCGAGTTCAATACACATTTCTGATGCTATATTGTTCCAAGCATCTTTTTTTTGTAAATATCTTTAAAATCATTTAATGACTTATCATATAATATTGGTTGCTTTGACACCAATATTATTAATATACTCGTTTCATCCGTGTCATCCATAATTTTTAAATTCAAAGTAACGACTGAAATAAAAATTGATATATTTTTCAATTGTCAGCGTTATTAAAATTTTTTGTAATAAATTATTGATAAAGATCACACTTTTTCAGTCAAACTAATTTAAAGGAAAGTCAAGCATTTTTTATATTGAGGTTATGTCAAGGGTATGGTTCTTCTAAATTCATTTTATTTGCGTTAAAGAAATCTTAATTAACATAAATCTTTAGATACTTCAATTTCCTGCTCCAATTATAAGTCAACTTATCCCACAATATTTCTTATATCCTACAACACTCAATAAACATGAATATTTTTATTTTTACCTACCACACAATAAGAAAATTTTGCACAAAAAAATAGTGAAGAATATTATTTTTCCTTGGCTAGTGACAAACTAAGTCATTAGATGTTGCACAACATTTAAATCTTCTAAAGAATTTACACCTCTTGACTGTAGCGCCTCTTCTTTTGGGCAGCTTACAAAATTTTTTTGTTTTTTAATTTGAAAACAATTTTTCTCTTAAGACCGGAATTGTTAAATAATCATAACCTATTTCGTAGTCTTGTGTGTCACTTATAAATATTGAATTGAAAATAGAAAATTAATTGAAATATTTAGAAAAAAATGGAGGATTTTGTGGAAATAATTTTAATTTGTTTAGAGTGGTTGAATTTAATAAGACTTTATGCGACTTTGAGCAAGGAAGTATTTCGTCGATGGTGGGTTAGACCTCATATCAAAACTCATATGAGAGATTTGTTTGGAGCATGCGATGCTGTTTTTGAATATTTTTTAATCAATGATCATGAACATTTTCAAAAAATGGTCCGCATGAGTGTTGAACAATTTGAAGAGCTACATAATTTAATTCAACACCGACTTCAAAAGAGAAGTCTACGACAACCATTGTCAACAAGACTTCGGTTAGCAGTAACATTAAAGTAAGTAGTTTTAATGTAAAAATGATGAATTTACTTAGTGTTTTAACTCGCAGTTGTGATATCGGTTAGTTAATAAGTAATTGAACAATTCAAAAATTTGTTTATTGAAATTTCTTTAATTTATCAAAACAAGTTACTTTTGGGAAAGTTATCATTTTTGAAATAAGCTCAAAACAAAAACTTGTTTCTTTATTTACAATTGAATAGCCTATTACGAAATGGGTTTAACTTTTTTTGAAAGATATTTGAATAATTAAAAATTCTAAATCTTAGAATATTCAATGTTCTTTCATTAACGTTTTTTCATTACCGAAAGAAAAACTTCGTTCGATGTTATTCCAGTAAAATAAATCATTTTGAGTAATACAAAATAAAATTTCTTTTATAAAACCTATTCTCAATCATATCTGTTCTGAAAAATTAATTTTTTATGTCTCTCAAACTCAAGAAAACTGACAGTAAATCACTTTGAAATCCACTATTTTTTTAAAAAAGTCATTTCAATTTAGAATAGAAGAAACTTTTTTGTTTTTATGTCGTTTCGAAAAGAGTTACAAATTCAGAATTTTGTCATGTTTTTTATACTACAAAAATTGTGTTAAAACAATAAAGGCTATAATAAATAAAAATAAATAAATAAATAAACTATTAAAATTTCCAAATCCTCGAATTTATCCAAGTGTAAGCTATTCAAGATCTTGAAATTTGAAATTAATCTCCATTTCAATCAAAGAACTGTTATTAATTTTTATTGCTTATTTGTGATTAGCGTATTTAAATTTACGACACATAGTGCATTTATTTACATTATAATAAAATTTAAAAATGTGATCAAGCATAATAATGTTTAATTATTTCAGTATTCTAGCTCACGGTGACACTTTTTACAGCATAAGTAACTTTTTCCGAATTGGCTTATCCACCACATACAGCATAATTTCAGAAGTATGCCCAATTATTTGAGAAAGTCTGCAACCTTTGTATTTGAAAGGAAATTTAGGTGTTGATGACTGGATAGTGAATTCACAAGGATTCCGAGTGAAGTGGGAGCTGCCACACTGTATCGGAGCTATAGATGGGAAAGAAATTTCTATAAAGGCGCCAGTAAATTCAGGCACACTTTTCTTCAACTACAAGAAGTTTTTTAGCTTCAAATTGTTGGCGATGTGTGATGCTTTTTGTCGTTTCTCTTGGGTCGACATTGGCGATTACGGCAAGTACATGCAAAAGATTTCTCATCTATCAAACGTGATAATATATCAAAGAATTTTCTATTTTTAACATCTGACAGATAAAAAAACTTCGACATCAGCTCTGTTTCTGAATGATAAAATTAAACTAATAACTTCCTTATTTTTCATTATAGGTAGTGTAAGCGATGTCTCGGCATTTCAACATACGGAATTTTATCGGCGATTAGAAAATAATATAGCCAATATACCAAATCCTGTGAACTTACCAAATTCAAATATTATGTCATCCTATTTCATAGTTGGAGATGGTATCTTCACATTAAGACCATATATGATGGTACCATATAAGAGGAATCGACCTCTTACGCCATTACAAAAATTATTCAATTATCGGTAATTTCTCCCTTAGACATGACATTTTGTATCTTTATAAAAAAATGATCTAATTTATAATATTGGGAAAAATTATTATTTAGAATCAGCACAGTGGTCTTATATTCATTCAAAATTTTTTATTGTAGCAACAAAATATGATTTTATTATAATATTTTACTTAAGGAAAGTGAAAAATGAGTTAAAATATGTGATAGCATATTGACATCCTTTCATTCTGCAAGGAATGGTTTTCAATTATTTATATTAAGTGAAATAAATAGAAATTTAACAAATGTTTCTCAGCTTAGAGTTTCTAAATTTTAGTGTTTTCATTATATTCAAATATAATTTTTGCTTTTTTGTAGGTATCCTAAAAAATGTTAAGGAATTTGAAAAAGAAATTATAACTTACAAATTTTTTCATTGTGATTAACGTTAATTTACTTATTTTAGATTGTCTAGAGCACGACAAACCATAGAATGTGCGTTTGGTATTCTGTCAGCACGATGGCAAATCTTACAAAAGAAAATGGCTTTCAAATTAAAAACATCGATTTCCATAGTACAGGCATTGGTATGCCTCCATAACTTTATTATAACTCGAGAATTGGCAGCTTATGAAGAGCAACAACAATATTTTCCTGAGAGGTTAATGGATCAGTTTATTCGTGCCAATAATGCAGCAGAAGAAGAAGAGAATAATTTGAATGACGAATTACCTTTAAATGACTACGAAAACAACAATGGTTATGATCAAGATATCATTGTGAATGCTGACATAAACGAAAATGAAGTACGAATCTCATTAGCTAATTATTTTGTGAATCATTAGTATTCAAGAGTTTTATGAAAGTTTTCGAATTTATAAGACATTTGAATAATTTGAAAGACTGACATCGCCTTCAGACTCCGAAATTATAATTAGTTGTTAATGAAATATTTTTATCTTTAAGAAATGAATAATAAATTCTGTTCAGTTGAGCACAATTGTTATGCAATTGAATCGTTATAAATTATTATTACTACAATGTTATCTAGCTCTTATTTCGTACAACGTAACGAATTCGATTTTTGTTTTCTTTCTACCTGATCGCTTTAATTTATTCATAAAATATATTTTATTATTTTCAATGACGGTTATATGAAAAATGAAATAGAAAATTTGTTTTAAGCTACTGTTGCTCGAAAACTTAAAATTTGAACTCAAACAATTTCTTATGTGAAATAAGTGGAAGAAAAGTTGTGTTTGATAATAATTTAATCTATTCAAATAATATGTATACACAATGTTTTAAAAACATAAATTTGAAGTTATGCACGTAGATATAACATCCACAAAATGTTGCTTCAGCTCACAAACTTGTCTACGTATAATATGTGCAACTTTATTACTGCTAAGATTTTTTCATCACGAATTTTTTATTGTCTTATTTTTCAGACAGATTAATAAATGAAAAAAGTCCTTTCGAATTTCGACTTATTAATTCTTCAAATTGAAGAATATGATTTTTATGAATGATATGTTAAGAAACACAAGTACATAGATATTGAACACATTACTGGAAAATATGTTACAATTTTTTACCATTTGTTACTCTGATATTTATCTAATAATTGAAATCTTTTTATCAATCTGTCGTAATTAAATACAATTATCACAGCATAGATTTCTATATCACGAATTCTGCCTTTTTTACATTTCCCACAAACTTATTAGGAAAATACTACTTTTTCAGTCTTCAATTTTAAATACTTGTCATTTAAAAGTTACTAGTTTTTTCAAAGACTATACAAAAATATTACTTGTTGAACACATTAAAACAATCTCTTTTAGTAATAATTAATAATAAATATTAAAAAATGTTAAAAACAAAATAAACGTTTAAAGGATGAACAATTAGAAATTGCGGTACTATTCCCGAATCAATTTTTCCATTTCGTCCAGCATTAAAGGAAATAATTCTCTTTGTTGATTATCCGAAAGAGAAATCCAATCTGCTTCCAAGAGCTGCAGAAAACCGTCTGTAGGCACTGTTGCTGGTTTATGCTGATGTGATTGTTTGGAATTTTCGTAAAATTTCTTTTTTGCAATTTCTTTTTTCAAATCAATTAAACCAGAACATTTGGAAGCCATTGTCTCAATTTTCTTAGAACAATTCATTATTGCGTCTTGGACCTTTTCATTTTTATTTTTATTTTTCAATTTCTTCACAGCAAATTTATCATACTTTGGTACAATTAATTTTTTCTTCTTTACAGTGATGTCAGCTTCATCTGATATCTGTATTCTTTTTTTTGAAGTACATCTCTCTTTCACAGTCACGGTTGGAAGATTGCGCTTGACTTTTCTGAAAATTGACATTGTTTCAGATGGTGTACTTGCTTTCTTAGGGTCTCCAATAACATTTTGAGAGAGTTTTGAACATTCGGCGACAGGCTTATCGATAAAAGACGCTTTTGGTAAAATGCACGAAGAACTTCTTTGATCTTTCATTAAAATATCATTGCTGCAGCTGTTTTGTGAAATATGTTGAGAAAACCTTTCCGTTAAATTATTTTCAAAAATTGTTTCATTTCTAACTTTGACTGTGGAAATTTTGTGAAGTGTCGAAAGAACTATCTGTAGAAGAAAATACAGGCTGCTTCAAAACCATTTGGGGAACAAGATCTTTTGAAACTGCAGTAGAAGAAGTTCCTTGTTCATTTGAAATGTCGTTCCTTGATGTGAATTCATTTTCGTTAAGAAATTGTTTCTCGGGTGAGAAATCTGTCTGGTTACAATTTTTGTTTTCAAAAGCATTCAAATCTTCATTAATTGGAATGTTCAACAGATTGCCATTATCACTATGAACGTCAGCATTAGTCTCCTCGGAAACACTTTCTTTATTTTGAAGAAACGGTATTTGCACCATTTGCAATTGCGAATAATTGTGTCCTAGAAAAGAAATCAATTAAAACTTCTTCTTCAAAGTTTGTATTATAATTTATTAATAATTGTGCAATATGGAATGGCGAATAATGTTTTAAATTATACTTCAACATAAGAAATTTTATAAAGACAAAGGAGTATATATTTTCACTAATCAAAATAATCACATGAAAATTTAGCGAATTATTTAATATTCAATAATTTATTTCTAAAAAAATATTAAACTCAATATAGAACAAAATATTCTATAATGTTTAGGAAACATTATCCTGGAATACACAGTCAATGTTGAAATGTTATTTTATAATTAAATTGGGATTGCAGTTAATCTTTTCTAAAACTGTGTTTTTAAGTCTGTAAAAAATCACTATTCAACATTTAAGAAATTAATTCATATACAATTTTGAAAGCATTATGGTGTAATTGATAAAACAATAATTATTAATAAATAAAAGAAATAAAAAACTAATGAGAATTGCCAACCTTCGTTAGAGACTTGTGTGAAAGTTGAAGCGGTCATATTTGGTGCTGCAGATAATGTAGAGGTAGAAGGAGCAGAAGTACACTTCAATTTGCTGTCACTTGAAAAAATTGAATAAGTTTTTTAAGGTTTTCTAAAAGTTATCATTCCTTTAACATAATATATATAAAATTTTATTTAAGTTTTTATTGCTCTTTTTGTATCAAGAAATATTGGGATCTTTATTTTAGAAAAACTATGTACAGTATGCAAATAAATACTACATATATTTCAAAAAAATTTTATTTATGGTAAAATATTTTTTAAGTGTTAACAGAACACGTTAATTTATTTTTTAATACCTTATCCTAGAAAATGTGTAGATTCTGTTAAAATTCACTGTACAAATGTTGTACAATTTTTTTTTCTAATCCCAAACAAGATAAAATTTAGTTAAGTAGGGAATCAATTTTGAATTTCAAAACTTTTCAGGTCTTTTCGACAAAAATAGTAAAATCAAGTATTTGTATCTTACCTCTTATGTGATATAAATGGTTTTAAAAAAAGCATGTTTCCGTAAAGATTCTATTTTGGATTTAATAGTTTATCATTCCGCACGAATGTATCCCTCAAACATTTCCAGCGAAGCTTGGATCCATCTGAAATATCTCATTTTTTGAACATTTTCTACTTACATTAACATGTTATTAATAATTATACAAGACATTGTAATAAAAAAAACAAGAGTTTCATTTTAATTTTTATGCAAATCTGATACCCGTACAAATAAATGCACAAACTGAATTATTTGCAATAAATAAATTCACTCACTTATTTGAACATTGATTCCTTGATTCCTTAACGTCTGATCTATTTCATTCCACATATTATCCTTGTCCTTGTCTGATACAAAACTTCCATAGCTTTTATTAAAAATCCATGGATTTAATTCGACTATCTCGATTAATTTTTTGTTAAACAGATCATTATTATCCTTTAAAGACATTGTTCAATGCATTTAAGTCACTAAGAAGAAAATAATCTATAGCACGATTGACACTACGATGCAAACGATCGAGTTCGATGCCGTCGATACGCAAGTACAGAGGCGTCTCGTAATTTTCTCAGGAGAAAAAATGTCTTCAAATTAAAAAACAAAAAAATTTTGTAAGCTGCCCAAAAGAAGAGGCGCTACAGTCGAGAGGTGTAAATTCTTTAGAAGATTTAAATGTTGTGCAACATCTAATGACTTAGTTTGTCACTAGCCAAGGAAAAATAATATTCTTCACTATTTTTTTGTGCAAAATTTTCTTATTGTGTGGTAGGTAAAAATAAAAATATTCATGTTTATTGAGTGTTGTAGGATATAAGAAATATTGTGGGATAAGTTGACTAATAATTGGAGCAGGAAATTGAAGTATCCAAAGATTTATGTTAATTAAGATTTCTTTAACGCAAATAAAATGAATTTAGAAGAACCATACCCTTGACATAACCTCAATATAAAAAATGAAACTAATTAACCTCAATTTAACTTTCCTTTAAATTAGTTTGACTGAAAAAGTGTGATCACTATCAATACTTTATTACAAAAAATTTTAATAACGTTGATCAAAATTTTTTTTATGAAATTTCAACTTTTGGCTACAAAAAAATTGTAAATTTTTAAAAATTTTTTTCAAAACATTTCGCTTATTGATGTTTGTAAATACTTAAGCATATAATATTAAGACGAAAATTAACCTCCATAAATTTTTTTTCGAAAATATGTTATTTTAAAAATAAATTCAAGATTTTTTACAGTTAGCAAAATTACAATTACATAAAGTGAATATTAAAATTTTTGACAATTGAAAAATATATCAATTTTTATTTCAGTCGTTACTTTGAATTTAAAAATTATGGATGACACGGATGAAACGAGTATATTAATAATATTGGTGTCAAAGCAACCAATATTATATGATAAGTCATTAAATGATTTTAAAGATATTTACAAAAAAAAGATGCTTGGAACAATATAGCATCAGAAATGTGTATTGAACTGGAAAAAGAAATTTCAGGTAACCATTTACGAAACACATGGCGTAAATAAATAGACTTTTGATATTACTATACATTTTAATATGTATATTTAAATAATCAAGCACAAAATAACAAGAAAAAGTTGAAAAATTCAATTTTTAACTAGTTAATTTTCAAGCATTTTTTATTTACTGTCTTTTGTCAAAAACCTCTTTTTAAAAGAAATATTTTTAACCCCTCTTTTCCAAAAAATAAATTCAATTTTTCAATTTTTGAAAAAAAGTTCATATTTTTTCAATTTTAAAAATTGCTTCAATAAAAAAGATGACATTTTTTCTCATAAAATGTGTAAGAATAAAAATGGGTTAAATTGCTCCACAAGGTATAAACTGGAATCTCTCTTTTCAAATTATCAACTTTTAAATAGGCAAAATGGTCAAAAATTATCAATAATTTGTTTTCTTGATATTTGTATGAATGAAGTATAGAATGTGCTGTTTTTAAAACTAAATTGACTTCCATAGTTTCATTTTTCTTATATTATTTTATTGTTGAGTAATGATTTTTAATTCAAGTTTTAAAAATAAATTTTATTTACATAAAATTAATATATTTGTTTTTTTTTAATTTAGTACAGAATCGAACATTAAAGGAGATAAAGAAAACGAAAAAAGCGGAAGTTCAGAAGAAGAAGATGGAAGTGATCTTGATGAAGGTGATTACAATTTTTTTCAAATGAAATTATCTTTATCAAGTGCATAATTCTATGATAGAAATTGTTCAACTTATTTATAAAATAATGATAAAATTTTTAGAAGAGATTATTAATTTTACAACACAGACTTATGAGTTTAAAAAAAAAGTTATTTCGAAAATTTAAATAATGAGGAAATGTTTTTGATTTATAAATAAAATTTTTTGTACATCTCTCATTGTTTTAAAATTTATTATTAAAATAAATAACTTTAATGAACTTTTAGACATCTACATAGATAGTGACGAAGAAGATTATCCAAATTCTGAAGTATCTGAAATACTTCGTCATAGTTCTTTAATAACGAACAATTACATGCTGGTTATTCGTGCTGAATGGCTGAAAATTCCGGAGAAGAAAAGGAAGGAAGCCTACTTCAGATTAAAAAAAATGATTGATGAAAAGAAAGAAGGTCGCTAAATATTGTATTCATACTTTTTGTTTAATTTGCATTCAATAAAAGAAAAAACTGCTGCCATATTGTAGCTTTTATTACGACTTATCATGTTATGAACCTGATTTCCTGCTGATACAGATAACAAAACATTGATAATTAGTTATAGGTTTCATGTACTCTTTGAAGTAAAAATTTTTTCAAAAAAATTTAGGATTCCATTCAGAATTTGTGGCAAGTTAAATTGACAGTTTTACATCCTTTGGAATTATTTCTGTGATTTGTAAAGTAATTCATTTGTAAAGTTTGTAAAGTTTTGTAAAGTAAATTTGTAAAGTGCATGTAAAGTAATTCATAACAATAATTTGTGATCATTTAAAGTAAATTATTTTTAGCTTTTTCATTTTCTTTCGATTTATAATAAATAGTGCAAAATGTAATTGACTTACATATTTGACGTATGTTGATCATATTTAAAACTTTAGATTGCAATTATATATATCGAATGCATTGTCATTCGAAAAAGAAATGACATGAACATGAGAAGACGATTTGCCCTTATAAGATTTTAAATAAAAATATACTCTTAATAATGTCATACAATATTTTCTAACTTATTCTGACAACGTTATCTAAAAAAATGAAGTTTCTCGAAAACTGGTATTAACTGCTTTAAATTATTCAAAACAAACTACTTTTTTTAGTTATTTTTTTAAATAATTATTACATATTTCTCCTCAATTTTTAAATCAAAAAATTTTTGAGCAGTTATTTTAATAAAAATTTTTTTCAATTAATTCAAATTTTTAAGTAAAATCAAAGCACATTTTAATTGAAAACAAATTATACTTTTATAATAATTGTAATTATCATCTTAAAAAAGGTCTTAATTCAACAACGATATTGATACAAAAAATGTGTTGAAACTCATTTTTTTCTAATTTCCGCAGACACGAAAAAGAGATCACGAAATAGGTTAGGATTATTCAACAGTTGGCAACACCACTTCATGACGTCATACCAAGCGCGCTGCGTCTGCGTTGCGTCTGCGTTCACTTTGCGTTTCACCCATTGTGGAATGGACCTTACCGGCCTCAAGCAGAGCATCAGCGTCTGCTTCTGGCAGTTGGACTACTGCCATCTTCACCGCTCCACGCAGGGTGATGAGTCTGCAGGAGATCTCCAGGTCGGTCCTGCCCAAAGCCTTTTTTAAGGCGTTGGTGACATCCTGGATCTCTGTTGTCTCGTCCAAGTCTCTAATCTCTAGTGATCTCTTTGTCACCAGAGGAGAAACCCTCGCCTTTCCTTTGAGAGCCTCGGTCACCTTCCCGCTGAAGGTCGAGAAATCCTGTCCCCTTTTAAGAACGAATAGTAAATCCTGCTTCTCGGTTCTTCGAATGGACAGAACCTCAGTTTTCGTTTCAGCGGGGTTGACCGTGGCGAAAAGCTCTGCTATAAGTTCCTTTGGAGGAGCCTTACCGTTTTCCATCGACACCCTAATGGCGTCGGTCTTTCTTCTCTTTTTTTTCCCCTGACCACTCGAGAATTCCTTTGCTTCGTCCTTCGCGAATTTATTTTTCCGCCTCTCCTTCCTAGAGACTACAGCACTCCAGTGGTCAGGAGTGTCTTCCTTTGACGGCGTGACAGAATTTACCTTTTCCTCGTTCTGCATTAGCGTAGAGGCCGGTTTTTTACTCTGTCGATTATTATTATTATTATTATTATTTTTTTTTTTTTGCTTAGGGACTTTTGGGAAATCTGCCTACAGATACCTTGGATTTCGCACTCCAAGGTTATGTGGGGTTGGTATGATAAAAAAAACAAAAAGAAATATTAGAAAAGAAAAATAAATAAATGTTATAATAAATTTAACAAACTGGCGACCTACTACCAGCCCGACCCACTAAAACCCGTAACCCTTCTTTTGGAGCCCTTTACCCTCCCTCGGAACTGTCGTAAGACTGTAGCCTTCGAGGGTGGCGCTCCAACTCTGTCGCTAATGCGACTTTCTGCTTGTCTCTGCGGTTATCCTGCGTTAATAGTTAAAAATTTTAAACTATTTCAATATAAAAGCGGAATTAACAGCACAACAATAATAAAAAAAATGTTTAATCAAGTGTAAACAGTCAAAAGATAAAATTGCGAACGGATATATAAAAAAAAATTATTATTATTATTATTATTATTATTTTTTACGAGGGAAGTTGGAAATCTGTTCATTATCAGATACCTCATGGCCCGTACCATAAGGTTATGTGGGGATGAACTCCGAGCCACTACAAAGTGTAGCTTCAGCTAAAACAAGTTAGCCTAAGGCTCTGTCGACCCACTAAAACCAACTCCCCTTTACCAGGACTCTATTTCCACTTGCGGGACTACCTAATGGCTTTACTTCGCAAGTGGAAGTCCTCTCTCTTACTCCTCTCTGTCCATTGTTAAAAAAAACAATCTTTTCATTAACAACCGGGGGGGAGTCGCGGGAGTGGGAGGAGGAACGAGAATTAGTTCCTCCTCCCCCTCCCGCGAATCGACCCCAGTGATTACTCCAGGTCAACTTCTTCTTCCGTCCACATCTTTTGTCTTCATTACCGATGTAATGAAGAACTCGATGTGACGCCAAGAGTCCGCGCTTTGGAGCATAGTTGAGACCATGTCATCAGCGGTGAATTGAGTTTTCACCGCGTCAAACATGGCAGGATAAGAGAGTGTGTTCCGCGTCGTCTATTTCAGCGCCGCAATACACACATTTCGCCTCTTCTCTGATCTTAAATCTATGAAGGTACTGACCGAAGCAGCCGTGACCAGTCATCGCTTGCGTAAGGTAATAGCCAACCTCGCCGTGCTTTCTTTCTAACCAGGTGGCGAGGTGGAGAATCAGGCGGTATGTCCACCTTCCTTTGGATTCCCCATCCCATCTTGCCTGCCAACTATCGACTAGTCTGATTCTTGCCGATTTGCGGATAGCCATCTTTAGGCTACCGCCGCTCTGTTGTTCCTGCGAGACAACTCGTTCTTTATTGAGCTGAAAGACTTCCTGTCTTTCTTTTGCCAACAAATCTGTTGGCGGTGTACTCTCAAGAACTAGAGCAGCGCAATCAGACACCGTCCTGTAGGCTGAGATTACTCTTCGTGTGCTCCCTGTCTGCACAGAGAGCAATCTGTCCAAGATGGCGTGGGTCTTAAGGGCATCAGCCCATACAGGGGCAGCATAAAGCTGCTTTTCTAGACCCACGGTCGCCACCAAGCGCCGCTTCTTTTCCCTGGGACCACCAATGTTGGGCATTAACCTAGATAGTTTACCCATACATTCGGCGGCCTTGAGTGCTGTGATGTTCACGTGAGGACCGAAGCTTAACCTTTGGTCCAACGTCACTCCCAGGTACTTAAGTTGATTTCCCCATGAGACTTCAGTTCCACCTTTTTTTACCTTTGGGGCTTCAAAAACTCGCCGGACTGTAACAAGCAGAGCCTCGGTCTTCTCTAAGGCCATTTGCAGGCCATGACGAGACAACCAACGCTCTACTCGTCGCAGTCCTTTATCGAGTTTTATCTCGAGGAATTTGGTTTCCTGCGCTGTACACACCAGAAGTACGTCATCCGCAAAGGCTTTCAGGATCGTGTCTTCGGGCAGCTCCATTCTCAGAAGATCGTCGTACATGACGTTCCATATGAATGGACCCACCTTAGACCCCTGTGGTGCCCCGCAGGTCATCTCTTCCTTGAGATGGAACACATTGCCTTCGTACACGACCCATCTGTCACTAAGATAGTTGTCTATCATTCGCAACAGATAAGTCGGCACTCCTTTGCGTCTCATTGACTCAATGCAGATGTCCCATCTCGCGGAATTAAACGCATTCCGGATGTCGATGGAAACAAGAGCACAGAAACCTTTCCTCTTCCCCTGATTGACTTCCTTTGCCAGTTTCACAACAGAAAGTATTGCATCAACTGTTGACCGGCCTTTCCGGAAGCCAAACTGGTTCTTTGATAGGCTACTTTCGCCTACCAGGATTCCCTGAAGTCTTTCTAAAACCATCCCCTCTAGAAGTTTGCCCATCGTGTCCAATAAACAAATTAGTCTGAACGATGAGACTTTATCCAGGGGTTTATCGCCTTTCCTAAAGAGAACCAACTTTTGCACTTTCCAGTCACTGAGGAACTCTCCGGCTTTTAAACACGCATTAAAGACGTTGAGAAGCAACTCTGGGTATACCGCGACGACCTCTTTTAGGATCTCGCTTGGTATTCCATCCCTGCCTGGCGCCTTGCCATTTTTCAACGCCCTTGCCGCCTTTTTTAGTTCTTCAAGCGTGAAGAGCTCCTCCATCTGTACTACGCAAGTATAGTCCTCCCTGGGGCTCGGTTCCACATGGGGAAACAGCGCTCTTATGATGTTTTGGACCCAAATCGGATTCCCTAGACCCAGGGTTTTTTGTTTTGAAACTAATTTCTTAGTAACAATTTTAAACGCCAAACCCCATGGTTCATTCTCGGTCTTCCCGATTAGGTCCTTCCAGCACTTTCGTTGGCTACTCCTTATAGCCCGCTTGAAGATTCGCCTGGCTTTATGCCAATCTTCTTGCAGCGTGAAGTCTCCCTTCGAGTGGGTATATTTCCTTCTCGCTGCATTGAAAACTTTCCTTAAAAGCGGGCTAATTCATCGCTCCACCAGTACAGAGCACCCTTCCTAGCTTTTGTTTGGTGCCGGCGAGGCATAGAGTGGTTGCAAGCATCCACTATTATTTGCCTCGCCTCTCGCACTATGCCCTTTACAGAAGTTGGCTGCCTATGCCAGTTGAGTCTCCTAATAAGGCGAGCCTCAACTAAGGACTTTGCCAACTTCTTCCTATCGAGTCTCCTAAGGTTCCAGGAGGGTTTCTTTTTGTTCATTTGTGGGCAATTGTTCCCTCCCATATTCTCCTCGGAGACTGAAAACTCAATGTACTGGTGGTCGCTCATGGTCACCTGATCCAATACCTTCCAATTTCTGATTCTACGGGCCAGGTGGCGAGTTGCAAATGTCAGGTCAAGATTTGACCCTGACGCTCCCCGCCTAAAAGTGAGCTCTTTTCCCCGGTTCATCACCACCAGGTTATTCGCAGAGACCATATCAGTGACCAAGATTCCTGACGGGTCTCTCCCCACTCGGGGGACTTACTATTGAAATCCCCCGCAATAAGGACATCCCCGTCGAAAGCTCTTATGCTTTCTTCAAGAGAGCGAATCTCGGCTAATGCGACCTTCTCCCTTTTTCTGCGGTCCTCCTGCGTCCATAGTTAAAAAAATAATTTTTTGTAACTATTACAAAATCCAAGCGGAATTCACAGCACAACAATAATAAAAAACAAATTTTTAAAGAAGTGTAAAAAGTCAAAGATAAAATTGTAAACGGATATAAAAAAGAAAAGAAAAAAAAGTAAACACGTATATAATGTTGAAAAGATAAAACTGTATAAAGACGAATAAAAAACACAAAACAAATTAAAAAATGTATAAGAACAAATAAATCACAAAATAAATTAATAAAAAACAAACTTACCAAAAGCTGCTTAAATCACGCCTGTTGGCTGCCGTCGAGATTCTTCCTCGACATAACCGAGGTTACGAAGTTCTCGACTTGCTCCTTTTAATACTTTTTATTTGCTTCTAGTTCTTGCGAGAGTCTTCTTCGCCTCCTCAAGGGCCGTCCTGAAGACTCCGCATCCTCCGCTGCCTGCAATATGGGTAGTTGACACCTTATTGCCAAACTTTTCTTTGCATAAAAAGCAACTTGGGCTCTTCTTACAGTTGGAGAATCTGTGACCGGCTTCACCGCACTTAAAGCACGCAGCCGATCTGTCCACCTTCTGGCATTTCGCTCCAATATGACCGAATCCCAAGCATCGATGACACCGGACGACCATTACTCTTTTTTTAATTGGGCAACACATAAAACCAATTATTACGTGTCCCAATTTCTCCAACCTGTTCGCCTCTTCCGGGTTGGTGACTACAACCGCGAGCTTCATCCCTCGGCGGTTGGGTCCTGAGACTGTCACTCTCCTGTTTACTGGCTTACCCATTGCTTCAAACAACACTTGTTGCACCTCATCTTCTTGGGTAAGGCAATCCAAATCACGGATCTCGAGTGTAACTCTTCGATCTAATGACTGCACCTTACCCATGCTTCCAACCGCCTTGGTGACCTCAGCGGTGAAAGCGTCCTTATCGGAGTCTCCTCTGAACTTAATCAGAAGGTCCCCCTTGTTTGTAGCTTTTGCTGCTACTATTCTCGTATGGCTGTCCTCTGGGTTGACCTCTTTGCGAAGCTTACCCAGAACGTCAGCATACGTCAATCCTTCACCGACTCGGATTAGAACTGTGGATCTTTTTGACCCAATTCTTTCCAATTGAGGAATCTTTGGATCTGGTACTTCCGTTTCCATTGGAGGAGCTTTCTCCTTCTTCCTCTTATCGGTTTTGGTTCGAGTCTCTTCTGGACTGTCACCCTCTCTCTTCCGTTTCTGAGCATCTCTTAAGACGCTTTTGAGATTACGCCTATAGAAACGCTCTCTCTCTTTCTTACGGTCCTTGCGGTTGTATTCCGCACCGCTCAGAACGCATGCCAAATCGACGTCCGACTCATCGGCCGCGGCATGCTTTGCCCTTGCCTCCTTTAGCAGGACGTCGATGACCTTGAGTCCATCCTTTACCGTCCTATTGACGGTCTTCTGAATGTCGCAAGATTTTATCATCTTTGCGACCTCCAACTCCATTTTTTCGAGACAAGTCGCCTCCTCCTTTCTGAGCCGAAAGCATATCTCGCGAGTCTCTTCTATCGCCTCGTCGTCTACTTCTGAGTGGATAGCGCTATGAACGGTTTTTCCGCTACTGCAGCTTGACACACTCAGAAGGCTCGACGTGCTTCCTTTCCTCGTTTTTTTATTTTCCACGATGTTCTGTGGATCTACCCTTTCCACGATCACTCGTGGCACTGCAAGAAATTGTGCGCCCCCACAATCCGCGCGCACTTGAGCATCGGTTCTGGGACCGATGGTGAGATTTCCCGTTTCCGGCCTGCTCACATGGGGTACCTTCTCAGAATTTTTTGAATTCATTTTTTCTTGCTGTTTGGTTGTCCTTTAGTTGAAAGCCCCGCCACCACGACAAGGTCTACCGAACATATCCATGATGTCAATCATGTCTGGCAGTAGATATGCATCCACTTCTCCCAGCACATCGAAGACATCGATGATGTTCGGCAGTGGACAACCAGCGGCGGAGATTATTATTATTATTATTATTTTTTTTGTAGTCGGAAGTGGAAAATCTGCGAATTCAGATACCTGAGTAATGAATTCCAGGTTATGTGGGGATGACCGCTCTTCTTCTGGTCGACCCACTAAAAACCACTCCCGTCTTATTTGGGACTCTTAATCCACCTGCGGAACTATGCCATTAACCCACTCAAGCCATGTGGGAGCGTGGGTGGGAGGAAAACTAAATGACTTCCTCCCCCCACGCTCACACACAGCTGAGCACTGGATTCCTCCGGTCAACCTCGTCTTCCGTCTCTATCTTTTTCCTTCATTACTTTAATAATGAAGGATTCAATATGCCTCCACGAGTCCACGTTCTGAACCATGGTAGACACCATGCTGTCGACGTTGATTTCAAAGCCAACTGCCGTAAACATGGCCATTCTATCACGGCTCCAGTGCCCGCAATAAAAGAGAGTATGCTCCGCGTCATCTACTGCAGCGTCACAGTAGACGCACTTTGCTACTCTCTTAATCTTAAACCTATGAAGGTACTGTCGGAAACATCCATGACCTTACAACACTTGTGTCAGGTAGTAGCCAACTTCACCGTGCTTTCTTCCTAGCCAAGTGGCGAGGTTGGGGATCAGGCGATATGTCTACCTTCTTTTAAGATCCCCATCCCATCTCTCTTGCCATTGTTCAAGGAGTCTACATCTCGCCTCTTTGCGGATAGCCGCTTTGGCGAGATTTCTACTCTGCTCTTGCGAGGTAACTAGATCTTTGTTACGCTGAAAGACTTCCTGTCTTTCCCTCGCCAGTAAGTCCACTGGCGGGAGACTCGCAAGAACTAGAGCAGCGCTCGTTGAAACCGTTCTGTAGGCTGAAACCACTCTCCGCGCACAACCACCCTGTGCGGAGAGTAGCTCGTCAGAGATGCCGCGGTTCTTCAAGGACTCAGCCCATTAAAAGGGCAGCATAGAGCTGCTTTACTTGAACCACGGTCGCCACTAATCGGCGCTTCTTTTCCCTGAGGCCACCGACATTGGGCATCATTCTCGATAGATTCCCCATACAGTCGGCGGCATTCAGTGACGTGATCTTAGAATGTTGGTCGAACTTTAATTTTCGATCCAACGTCACTCCCAGGTACTTTAAACTATTTCCCCAGGAGACTTCAGTCTGTCCTATCCGAATCTTCGGGACCTCAAAGGATCTTTTACCTGTGACAAGCAAAGCTTCTGTCTTCTCTGTAGCCATTTGTAGGCCGTTGAGATCTAACCAGAGCTTTGCTCGTCTCAAGCTTTCGTTGACCCTTATTTCTAGAATCCGAGAAGTCCGCGCGCCACACACTATAATGACATCATCCGCAAAGCCAACCATTATCGTATCTTCAGGTAACTCAATTCTAAGGAAATCATCGTACATGACGTTCCATATGAATGGACCTACCTTTGATCCTTGGGGAGCTCCGCATGTCATTTCATATTTGAGATGACATGCATCGCTCTTGTATTCAACCCATCTGTCGCTGAGACAGTTATCTATCATTCGTAACAGATAGGTTGGTACCCCTTTACGACGCATCGCCTTGATGCAATTGTCCCACTTTGCGGAATTAAATGCATTACGTATTTCGATGGAAATAAGCGCGCAGAATCCCTTCTTCTTGTCCTCTTTGACTTTCTTTGCATGGTTTACAACAGTGAGTATTGCGTCAACTGTTGAACTGCCTTTACGAAAGCCAAATTGATTCTCCGATAGGCTATTTTCGCCTATCAGGATTTCCTGAAGTCTCTGCAGAACCATTCCCTCTAGAAATTTGCCCATCGTATCCAATAAACAAATTGGTCTGAACGATGTTACCTTATCCAGAGGTTTATCGCCTTTCCTGAGAAGGATTAACTTCTGCGTTTTCCATTCACCGAAGAACTCTCCGGTTGTCAAGCACGTATTAAAGACGTCAAGAAGCAACTCAGGATCCACTGCGACAATCTCTTTTAAGATTTCCCTTGGTATCCAATCATTGCCCGGCGCTTTGCCGTTTCTTAACGTCCTTGCTACCTTTTTTAATTCCTTAATCGTGAAGAGCTCCTCGTCTCGTACTACGCAGTGAGTGTAGTCCTCTCTGGGGCTAGGTTCCACATAGGGAAATAGTGCCTTTATGATTTACAGAACCCAAATCGGATCATCTAAACCAGGGGTTTTATGCCTTGTCACTAATTTTTTATTATTATTATTATTATTATTATTATTATGATTTATTTATTTTTTTTTTGCTTAGGGACTTTTGGGAAATCTGCCTACAGATACCTTGGATTCCGCACTCCCAGGTTATGTGGGGTTGGTATGATAAAAAAAACAAAAGGAAATATAAAAAAAAGAAAAATAAATAAATGTTATAATAAATTTAACAAACTGGCGACCTACTACCAGCCCGACCCACTAAAACCCGTAACCCTTCCTTTGGAGCCCTTTACCCTCCCTCGGAACTGTCGTAAGACTTTAGCCTTCGAGGGTGGCGCTCCAACTCTGTCGCCAATGCGACCTTCTGCTTTTCTCTGCGGTCATCCTGCGTTAATAGTTAAAAATTCAAAACTATTTCAATATAAAAGCGGAATTAACAGCACAACAATAAAAAAGCAAATTCTAAAAAGTGTAAAAAGTCAAAAGATAAAATTGCAAACGGATATATAAAAAAAAGAAAAAATAAACGCGTATAAAATATTGAAAACCTAAAACTGTACAAAGATGAATAAAAAACACAAAGAATTAATAAATGTATAAGGACAAATAAATCACAAAATAAATTAATAAAAAACAAACGTACAAAATTAAAAGCTGTTTAAATTACGCTTTTTGGCGGCCGTCGAGATCCTTCCTCGACATAACCGAGATTATGAAGTTCTCGACTTGCCGCCAATTCTCTTCTGACTGGGTCATCAGCGATACCATGTTCTCCGGTGTAACTTGACTGTTTACACCTTCGAACATGGCTCGCCTCTCCAAGTCCCATTTCTTGCATGAGAAGAGGGTGTGCTCCGCGTTGTCCTCAGGGAACTGGCAATATGCACATACCCTGTTCTCGCGTAATTTAAAGCAACACAGGTACGAGTTAAAACACCCGTGACCTGTGAACGCCTGAGTCAAGTAATAGGAAACCTGACTGTGTATCCTATTTATCCAGGTGGCGAGTGCCAGGATAAGGCGATAAGTCCATCGACCTTTTTCCTCACCATCCCATCTTTCCTGCCATCTTTCTATGAGTCTGTGCCTCGCTTCTTTGCGGATCAGGCCCTTGCTTGGTCTTATTTCCTTATCTAAGGAACTGCTTTCTTTAGAAAAGAGAAACATTTCTTCCCTTTCCCTCGCCAAAAGATCTGCTGGCGGGACACTTGCAAGGACCTGCACAGCACTCGTAGATACCGTCTTATATGCAGAGATGATACGCGTTGTTATCGATCTCTGCGCCGACAGTATCTTTTCACAGATGGTAACACATCTTTTGCTCCTTAGGGATGGGGCCCATGCTGGTGCTGCGTAGAGCATTTTAGCATGGGCGACACTCGCCACCAGTCTTCTTTTTTGTTAACGGGGTCCGCCAACATTTGGCATTAACCGTGAAAGATTAGCCGCACACTCGATCGCCTTATTTGACGCCGTAGCCATGTGGTGGTGGAAGTTTAACCTTCCATCCAACTCCACACCAAGGTATTTAATTTGTTTACTCCACTTGACCTCGAATCCGTCTATCACGATTCGTGGGAGCTCATAAATACGTCTGTCTGTGACCAGCAATGTCTCGGTCTTTTCCAGGGCCATTTCAAGACCTCTGGTATTCAGCCAGCTTTTTGCTAGTCGCAGACATTCGTTCACCAATGTCCCAAGAGCCTCCTCACTCTCGGAAGTGCACACGAACAACGCGTCGTCCGCAAAGCCGATGATCATCGCACCTTCGGGCAGATCCATTCGCAGAAAATCATCGTAAGATACATTCCATACAAATGGACCCACCCTCGAGCCTTGAGGAGCCCCACGCTGCATCTCTTCTCTGAGAGTGCAGGTGTCTCCCTCATATATATCCCACCTGTCGCTAAGATAATTATCTATTATCCGCAACAAGTAGGGCGGCATATTTTTCTTTTTCATCGACTCGATGAGATCTTTCCATCTTGCGGAATTAAACGCGTTGCGTGTGTCAATTGCTACCAACGCGCAGAAGCTCTTCTTTTTCCTAGGTCCCAATTTGTTTTTTCCTGCTTTGGCTATGTCCACAACTGCCTGGATGGCATCAACTGTGGACTTGCCTTTACGGAAACCGAATTGGTGATCTGATAGACTATTCTCTCCGGTCAAGTGGCTTTGCATTCTCTGCAGAACCATATCCTTTAGAAGTTTACCCATCGTATCCAACAGGCATATAGGCCTGTACGATGAAACCTTATCTAGAGGTTTTTCACCTTTTCTTAGGAGGACTAACCTCTGTCGCTTCCAGTCGCGGAAGAACTCTCCTCTCTCAAGGCAAAGATTGAAGCATCGAAGCAGAATCTGGGGTGAAGTGTCGATTACCAACTTTAGGATCTCGTTACTTATCCCATCGATTCCAGGCGCCTTGCCTGTTTTTAATCTTTTTCCTGCTTTTTGCAGTTCACTAAGTGTGAAGAGTTCTTCCTCTTCGACTTTGCAAGAACTCCAGTCCCTTCTAAGGTATGGTTCTGCAGGAGGAAACAAAGAACTTATTATCTTTCTGACCCAATCGGGATTGTCCAGGCCGGGGATCTTTTGCCTCGTCACTAATTTCTTAGACACGATTTTAAAAGCCAGACCCCATGGGTCCTTATCGACTTCCTCGATTAGGTCCTTCCAGCTACGGCGTCGCGACTTACGGATCTCTTTCTTGAGGTCCTTT